ATAGCGAAGAGAACGGGTGATCATACGGACATTGAGAATTTTGAAGAAATTAGAAGAAATGCTGGAAAGCTTATTGAAGTAAAATATAAGGATTATTTGAACGAACTCAAATCAGATTTAACTGAACATCCGAAACGTTTTTGGACATTTATTAAAGCAAAAACTAGAGCATATAGCACTCCTCAATTTCTGAAATACGGAAATGTATTCGCCACAGACGGCAAGGATAAAGCTAATCTCCTGAACAGTTTTTTTCACTCCGTGTTCAATTCAGGGGTTTCTCCAGAATCTAGTGATGAATACCGCAGTGAGGAAAATTGTGAAATTGTAGACAACAGTCTAAGTCAAATTGTTTTAAACGAGAGTGAAGTGCTAGATTGTTTATTAAACCTAGACCAGACGAAAACGGGTGGACCTGATGATATCTCTGCAAGGCTTCTTAAGACGGTTGCAAACGAAATAACTCCGTCGCTAACACGCCTTTTTAACCTTTCTCTAAGATTAGGAGAAGTTCCATCCATATGGAAACAGGCGAACGTCACTCCGGTTCCGAAAGTTGGCGACGTGCATTGCGTTGAAAACTATAGGCCGATTTCTCTGTTATGCATAGTCTCGAAAGTGTTGGAAAAATGCATCTACAACCGGTGTTATGACTCTATTTCCGGAATTGCACACCATTTACAACATGGCTTCTTACGAGGCAGAAATTGCACAACACAGTTAATCCAAGTGTATCACAAGATTCTTAAAGCACTGGACAATAAACACTCTGTTGATGTAATTTATCTTGATTTCCAAAAAGCGTTTGACAAGGTATCTCACCATTTATTGCTCCGTAAATTAAGCAAACACGGTTTCTATGGTTCTATTTTCAACTGGTTTAAAAGTTACTTATCAGGAAGGATCCAACGAGTTGCGCTTGACGGTCATTATTCTGAATGGCTCGATGTGACTTCTGGAGTTCCACAGGGATCTATTCTCGGTCCACTGCTTTTTATATTGTACATTAATGACCTTCCGGATCAAATTCAGCAACCAACAGAAATGGCATTATATGCTGACGACTCAAAATTATATAGAACAATAAAATCGGATGCGGATACTGAAAATTTACAGCTAGATTTAAATGAAATGAACTCTTGGACAGAAACGTGGCGTATGAAATTTAATACAAATAAATGTAAAGTCATGAGGTTGTCGCGAAAAAAAATCCAGTCGCACGTGAGTGATTACATATTGGGACACGAATCTCTCGAATTGGTAAAAACCACCAAAGATCTTGGAAGCATATTGCAGAGATTACGGCAAAAGCAAATCGAACACTCGGGTTGATCAAAAGAACCTGCAGAGATTTTGAAGATCAAACTGTCAGGAAGCTCCTCTACCTTACATTGGTTCGGCCGCAGCTGGAATTTTCATCAGAGTTGTGGTCCCCGTCAGAAGTAAAATACCAGCTTATGTTGGAAGCGGTGCAACGACGAGCTACAAAGTTTATTTTAAATTACCCTGACACTGGATATAAAAAACGTTTGATAAAACTTAACCTTCTACCACTTGATGTCAGGAGAAGTATGAAAGACTTGTTATTCTTTCATAAATGTAGAACAGGTCTATTGGATATACATTTACCAGATTATGTACAAAGTCGACTTGCTCCTAGATATAACATTAGGTCACATGACGTGAATAATTTCACTGAATTTAAATGTAGAACTGAATTTTTTAAAAACTCGTATTTTCCTCGAGCTGTGACAATGTGGAACTCGTTAGATAGTGATCTCAAAGCAATTGACAGCTCTAGTACTTTTAAGTCTAGACTTCTAAGAAATTTTATATAGAACTTAATGTTTATGAACTGCCACATAAGTAGTTTGCAGAGTGTTCCATTAGTTGTTAATATGTATATATAAATATATAGTAGCAAATGTTAGGTATATATAAACTCTTTAATAGGTTTTTAAATTGGTAGTCATGTTCAATTGGGGCAATGCCCTGTTTGGCCACCAGTTGTTTTTTTTAACTAATTACTACATTCTTGTATTTAGCAGTATATATAGTAGTGCTTGGATGATGCAAGTGTGTATGGTTTTTAAGCAACAAAGTTATTAAATCGAAATCAATGTATTACATATGCACATCAGCCTTTACACATGTAAAAAGAATATATTTGTTTATGTTCGCACAACACCCTTTTCTTTTCACAGTTAGGAAATATGGCTGCCAAAGCTCTTGAAAGGTGGCTTTTTACACTAAGATCATCAGTAACAACATCCTCTTGTTTAAGTCTCAACCCATCTGTTTTGATGCATATAGTCTTTAAAGAGCCCTGAAGATCTCCAGGAACAAATGTGCCAACATCACCTGCACATTCAAACAAGTGACTTATTAAAAATACAAGTTCCAACCTTGAACAACTTTCCTGCATTTAGTTCTTGCCCTCTTAGTAATCCCGGACTCTTAGAATCTAGTGTTAGGTCGTGTTTGACGTCAAATGGCAGTAACTTTCTCGCTTTAGGAGTTCTAGGAGTGCTGGTCTTAGGACATTCATCTGAATTTATGGAATTGAAGTCTATAGTTCAGAACGACAAAAATTACAACTTGAAACAAGGCAACATGGCGCTAACCAGCCGAGCGTATAATGAATTCCAGTTTCTTAATTTCTTTAGTATACGCAAATTTATGCTACGGCTCAAAGGGTCAACAAATTCAAGACATTCAAGTGGTAGAATGTATTATATTATCTTTTAGACTCACCATCTAAGTTCATCAGAGTCCGCCATTTTGAAGTACTCCAGACTTGACCATTTGAAGGCCGATATACTTGATAAAAATACGCACTTTGCAGAGACTACATCATAAAATGATCGATTTATGTATACCAATGTCAAAAAATCCAAAATTGAAGCATAAAATATTAGTTTGCAAGAAAACCAATTTCTTGCAAGAAAAATCACAGTAATCTGCCAGTCGCTAAATTTTCTTCTTTCGCCCTTGCCGTGAGCCTCTACGCGCCCACTTCTGGCCGCGCGCCCGCTCTTAAAGCGACTGGGGACGAGTCTGAACGTTCCCGATCATGGTGATCAGCAGTCATGATTTTCTGCTGATCAGATGAAAATCTGGCCACAGGATACGTTCTGTTTATATGTTCTGTTTATATGTTTTGTGATAATGCTGTAGTATTGCATGGTGTTCATAAGAATATTTAACTTACCGTGCTTTTGAGACAATGATTCTTGCCGATCAAGATGATCGGCAACCTTGCTTCTCTGCAGATCAAAAGAAACTCCTGCCGACCATTAATCGTTGATCGGCCGTTATTTCGTGCCCTGATATGAATACCTTCAATGCTTATAACTTCTTGCTTTTGTATGTATAATTATAGTTCTGTCAGTGGTGAAGCTAGCCAAAGCAACAGGTCATGCTATGCAAGTTTTTAATGATTTGTATCATTCAAATAGATGCAGGTTTATCAGCATAGGCATATAGCATGACCAGTAGCCATGACTAGCTTGCCACTGAATACTGTACAATATCATATATTTATATATAGTACATAAACGATAATAATACTTGAATGAATCATTAGACATGTAGAATTTAATAACAATTTCATGTATAGAAATACTATAATACAAAACTACCTCTATCACAGAACAACTGACATTTTTTTTAATACATCAGTTTCAGACGACACCATTCATTTGTAATGATTAAGATTGTACTCAGTCAGAACTTCAAAACTATATAATAAGAAAGAAATTGTGAGCATTATCAAAAAATATAGTATACCCTAAACAGAAGTGACACAGCTAGGTTAAAATATGAATATATTATGTAAGCCGGTAGGATTATTTCATACAGTTTAATAATCTGACAATGGGTATCTCAGAGATATATCTTTACAGACTGCCATACCTTGTACAAAAGTCGGTTGACATATGCTATTACATGTAACTGCTGGTGAGTTAATATGTGCAGACAACCATGGGCAGATTTACGGGGGGGGGGCTAGTTGAGGTTATAACCCCTCTCTAACCCCAAGGTGTTATAAAGTGTTCAACCCCACCAACCCGTAGCTTCACCCCTCTCACTTAGTGCTGCTTGCACCCCACAAGAAAATATTTTGCCACCCTCCTTTTATAAAATGAAAATCCGCCCTTGCAGACAACAATATCCACACAGGATTGCATGCTATACTATAGTACGTATAGGGATAACTTTATATTTAAATATATTAAGCCTGATCATTAAGCCCTGCTACTCAACATTCCACGTTTGTTAAAACCTGCTGAAAGCACATTGCTATAAACATGTAGAATAAACACTAGAATAAACACTATAATTAAACTATCGCCTTTAGACATCACCACACAAACAAATAAACTAAAAGTAGATTTTGACTACTTGTATAAAGGCGATCAGTGCAGGGACAGGCCGGACAGCGTAAATTCTGAAATTTATGATAAATTCATGCTGAATCTAAATTCATGAACGGCATAGTGCTCTAAATATAAATGCTTTCATGTATATATAATATTACCAAAAAGAAATAAAGCTATCCTTACCTGAATTATTGAAAATATTGTCCATGTCAGTTTGCATCATGAAAATGTATTAAATAAGCCCGTACAGTGCATTTGTGCAAGACAAAAAAGTTTGACCGCCCCCCTCGTTTAAAAAAACTTCCTGAATCCTTAATTATTTCCCCGGAATTACGACATCTTTACCGACAGACACAAAATCGAGATCTCGACAATACATAGCTCGGGCAAAGAGACTGGACACGAGTAAACGCGATACTTCATTTGGCGGGAAATTCAAATGCGCTATAACACATCGTCAAGAATAGGAGGCTGCCTTCGGCAGCAATTAATCCAGATTTTATTTCTTCTTTTAGGAGAAAAAAATCTAACTATTATGTAGTTCCCATTGCTATAAGCATTCCTACTTTGAATTGCTCATATTTGAACGATCTTCTATTTACTGCAATCAGCATTACATTAATTTAAGCTTTTCATTTTTTTCATCTCAGAGTCCACGCTGGGCACAGGAGTGACACATCGCTTCGTGCAACCATCCAAACAGCACTTCTTTCCGCTTTGACAGTCGTTGTCAAGTAGACATGAATTCGCGTCTGGTGCACACACATCACGGCCTGAATGGAAAACAAAACTCATGGTTATTTTTTCTGAACAGTGGCATAACATAAAATTAACACAAAGTTTGATCAAGTCCTAGGACTGATTTGATTAACACGGGGGTAGGGTGTAATTGTTGACGTAGTATTTGAAACACAAGCAGGAGTACTTTATATATATAAACACTCAACTTTATTTTGTGGAAAATGCACAAAATGAATATAAAGCCCGAACATACCAGATCGTTTGATTGGCGTTGTACAAACGTTCCCACATCCTCTGCAACAGCAAATCTGACCTCTCTTAGCGCATTCATCCTTGTCGCAGAATACCAAACAGGTTTTTGGGATGGGGCATGATAAAATTGGGTCTTAAAATAAAAAAATAGCATGTTAATTACTTGTTTGTGAACAAAAATTTCTAGGACAAGTCATAATAAACGCAGGTGGCATAAGCATTCAACTTGAATGTCTTCGGCATAACCATTCAACTTGGATGGTTATGCCGTTGACTGTCTTCGGCATAACCCTTCAACTTGGATGGTTATGCTGTTGAATGTCTTCGGCATAACCATTCAACTTGGATGGTTATGCCGTTGAATGTCTTCGGCATAACCATTCAATTATTGTTCTAGTTTTTGGGGAGTAGCCTAGACTATTTTATCCTTACAACAATTGCGATATTACTTTCTTAACTGTGTTTATCCTAACCCACCCTGTCAACTTTCCTTGTGGTAGGAAACCGGAGCGGCCGGAGAAAAACCACGACTTTTGGCAGAGCGTTGACCGACTCTTTTCACATGAGTCCGTAGCGAGAGTCAAACCCACGAACTCAGAGGTGAAAGACGCTTGTTCTGACGACTGCGCCACAGACGTTCCATAATAATTACAAAAAGAATACACCATCTTACCCATCTTAACACAACTGCCTCTCTTCGCAATTGTGATTTGTTTTTGTTGTTCACAGATTGCTTTCTCCAACTCACAAGTGTTCCCGTACGTCACACCGTCCGATCCACAGAATGGGTCAGTAACAGAGAGACATCTTCTCTCAGGGCACACGCAATCAGCCGATCCATTTCTCACCTCGCATTTTGCGAAGAAACCACATTTGATTGAAGCACAAGGAGAAAGGGTTGTGGATGCGTTTCTTGTTACTGGAGTCGAAGTTGATTTAAGACCTAAAACCCACGATTAATAATTAGTAATTCAAATTTATAAGTTCGCACGAAATATAGTGCGGGTCATTATTTATGGCGGGGGTGGCACCGAAGAGAAAAGGGTGGGATAAACAAAATTTTGAGTGAGTAAAAGGTTGGATAAAAGACAAAACAGCTCAAGGGTTGGGTAATAAAAATTTATTGTCATTTCCAAAGCATGACTCACTCAAATATTGAAGACTAAAAAGCAATGTTAACAACCGTATGTCAATACATTATTTGATCAATCAGAGTTACTGTCTTGATCATTTTCCGATTTGTCAGGAGGCAAATGGTGTCTCTAAGAAAGTACATGTGCAGACAACATGAAACTTTAGACTGCAGAAAATTGTACAATCAGTTCTCAAACTCATGTCACAGAAGTGGTAAAGGATATGTGTGACGACTGAATATGGCTTTTTCAAATTGTAAAAAATATAAATTATGTCATTCAAAATCAGATTCCTATTCTTATTTCCCACAGAATATTTTTCAATTTTTATTGTTTCCCCCTCAGTATATTCTCCAATGGGATAGCCATTTTGTACCGATACTACCCAATAAAAAAAGTGTTCATTAATTCATTATTCATAAAGAAAAACGCAATAATGGTTTAACATACATTGTCCGTTGTTGACAACTTGAAGATACTCATGATTTTTACAACTATCCCTTTTCAATTCACACAGATTTCCATAAGTCACTCCATTTGAGCCACAGACGGGTGCCACAACACCAGAACATAAAGATGGACACACGCATCTAGCCGAGCCATTTCTGACTTCACATCTTGAATAGAAACTACATGTGAACGGGCAGATGGCAGGGGTTGTGGAAACTTGGGAGCTTGGGGACACGGGAGCTTCAGTTGTTGTCAGGCCTAAAACACAAAAGATAAACACAGAATAAACGTTACCGTCTCTCGATAAAATTATATTTCAAACCGAGCGTCAGGGCATAAATTATGCTGCGTTCTACAATATGCGTAACAGTTTAGAATTCTTTCCGAATGGTTCGAGATGCGCGTCCCTCCAATCGGAGGTTAATCACTGAAGCCCTATCCAGTGTTAACTGGTCTCCAATGTATCATCTGAGCTCTTGTGACGAACAGTTCCAATATTTCTCTTCCATTGTTGATGGTATTGTTGATAAATATCTCCCTCTGAAACGTATTAAATCTGACAGCAGCGATAAGCCCTGGATTACTCCAGAGATAAAAAGATTAATATCGAAACGCCAAGTAACATGGCGGAAAGGAAACAAGCCTATGTTT